CACACCTGGGGATGAAGTTTAAAGGAGAGGCAGTTGGGAGGGGCGTTTGTCAGGAACAAACACTGAATTCCTATAGTGTTGAGAGTTGTGGCTTGCATTCCTGGCATTCCTCTGGACTGTTTGAATTATTTCCGCCCTTCTGTGTGCTTATCTTGTCTTGCTGGAATTATTCTTTGCTTCTGGGACTCATCTTGCCCTGCTGGAATGATTGATTACAGTCAGTCTCCTTACAGCGTTTGAACTGGAGTATCTGCAGGTTTGTGGAAGAGCTTTTCTCCAGGTTGTAGAGTAAAAGAGATATTGGGGGGCAAGGTTGGTGGCAATAAAGGGACTCACACTGGTTCTCTGGCTGTGTTGCCTTCGTGCCATGCCCCGGGTCATCACAGGACCATTTCTCCTGTGCCAGGCTGAAATTGCCAACATATCAGAAGTTTCATTACTGATTGATTACATTGTTCAGTCTGTCCTTTTTGTTTATTTCATTTGATTTAAAGTGAAAAGAAAAGATTATTCATTGTTATTGGAGCAAGTTACCTTAAAATCCCAAGTGCTTCAAATGGTACCACCGGTCAGGTTGTACAAGTATAACTGATTTTTGTCATGAGCAAGTCAACAGGGCTTATCCATTTTCTTCACAGTTTATGCCACAACAGCATCTAACCCTGAGGAATCTTCATATGCATGTTACTATGATGAAAAGAGAGAAACATACCTGGGGGATTTGTACAGTGTCAAATGGATGGAAGATTCTGATGTGGTAAGTTGCCAAGATCTGGTATTTGCTTGTGCAGGACCACTGTTAGGGATTACATTGTGGCAAGAGGAAACATAGATATATATTTGCTTTTATTGCATCTGCAAACAGATAGCTGGTGGCCCCATTCCAAATGATTTATTCCTATCTGGAGGTAATCAATTGGGATGCTCTTGTGAAAAGTATTGGCATCTGGGGGATCATGTTACTTGGATTTGCTCACAGATGGACCTTGACTAGGCTGGTCCCATTAACGTGATAAAGGCACGGCCAATTATCTGGGAATAATTGGATCCTCAGAAAGGTCTTCTGTGGAAGTGGACAGGATCCTTTAGGTCAATCATCTGACATGAGGTTGAGTCTATGAGGTGTCAGCCTTCTTGAGAGAGAGAGGTTTATTCTGTTAGCCTTGAAAGAGACATCAGTATGCCTCATCTTCAAAAGGCCATTTATCCATCATCCTAGACAATTTTTGTTTGGTCTCTTTGTTGAGCAGATGGTTGGGTTACAGCTGCAATCAGCTCTGGAGAAAGTGGCTTATTTATATCCTGAATGAGTTGGATCTAGATTGTAAAGCACCAAGATAGCATGTTGGTTGCACTGGTTAGTGACTTGTGTTGCAAAAAAAAAGGATAGTGCAACCTTAATGATACAGGAGGAGCTTGGATTTGAGAAACAAGTGGCCAAATTCACAATTAAATGACTCTGTCCATTTAATCAGGAATCACGAGTCAAATTCAGTCCACCTAACCTCACAAGACTGTATTCCAAGCAGCTCATTGGATGTGACCAATCAGAGTCCAACTCTAGTGAATCCAAATTGCTTTATCCACCAAATAGCAAGGAAGCTCTGTGACCCTGTAGGGGACCTTCCTCACTAAATGGGTCATGCAGATGTAACAAATATGGAGAAATAATGGTGTTTTGCCACACTTATTGCCATGATGTAGGCATCAATATGGGCTGTTACTTGTGTTTAGTCTGATTAGTTTTTCCCCTTCTGGTGCTTCATTTCCCAGAGTTTCTGGGAGAGATGATAAGAGAGAAGTCACATAGGAGCAGTCTGGTCCATGTCCTCAGCCACCCACCTATATGAGGCTGGTGCTAAAGCCTATAAGGTGATCCAGGGCCAGCTCTAGGCATTTTGGTGCCTTAGGTAAGGCACCAAAATGCCTTATCTATTCATGTTCTAGCACTCCATATGGTTTGGTTCATCTTCTGATTTTGTTAGGAATTTCAAAAGGACACCTATTTTTTTCTCTTGTGATTTTCATCCATAGACAATTTTTTGGGGGGGAGATTAACCTATTTACACAGTAAGTGAAGTAAGTACACATACGTGTTAGTCGTTCCGAACTCTAGGGGGGGCGGTGTTCCATTTCAAAGCCAAAAAGCCGGAGCTGTCTGAAGACGTCTCCGTGGTCATGTGGCTGGCATGACTTAATGCCGAAGGCTCATGGAATACTGTTACCTTCCCATCAAAGTAGTCCCTGTTTTTCTGCTTGCATTTTTAAGTGCTTTCGAACTGCTAGGTTGGCAGAAGCTGGGATAAGTAATGGGAGTTCACTCCGTTATGCAGCATTAGGGATTCGAACCACCAAACTGCCGATCTTT